AGTCTGGTAGATATAGATATTTTCTACGATACTGCGTTTTTAGTTTTATCGTATCTTAAAAATTGTGCCTGCCACAGATTTTCGTCCTTTGTGGGGGCGGAAGGGGGCGGGCCGAAATTTTGAAATACACTTGTAGCAGTGTGATATCACATGAGTCTGGAAACCAAATTTGGTTACCCTAACTTTTATAGTCTCTGAGATCCAGGCGATCAACAAGACGGACAGACGGACGGACGGACAGACAGACATATATATCGACTCGGCTATTGATGCTGATCAAGAATATATATACTTTATGGGGTCGGAAACGTTTCCTTCTCTGCGTTACACACATCCACTTTTACCACAAATCTAATATACCCCTTAACTCTTTTTTGAGTACGGGTATAAAAAACTATTGCTACCTCTGAAAAAAGCTTTAAAAAAAAATACCAGTTTTCAAAAATTTTTCAAAAAAAAGTTCTTCCATAGAAAAAAAAAAAAATATCATCAAACCATTTCTAAGCCCCAAATCTTTAATAAAAAGTTGGTTTTGTTCCTTGAGGAAAAATCGTGTTGACCAGTGTTATCTACGTCACGCGTCACTATAGCTGTGCTCTTCTAACATAACGGTGCTGCGCGTTTAGCTTTCATCTTTCGCTGTATCGTGCGTGGAAGGTTAGCTATGGCAAATTAATTTGTTAATTCTGGCTAGAATAATTATTCCATCTGACCCAGATTCGGAAATATGGTAGATATTGTGTTTTGACTTAAATTTTGGCAGCACTGGTCAGCCCAGTAATTTTTAAAAAGAGAGATATAGCATGAAAGACAGCACGCAAAATGCCGTATATACCTCTCGCTCTCACTGCATGCTTTTTTCATAAGGCTATCTCTCTCAGGCAATGCGCCTACGGCTCTGCGTCGACGTCGACAGATGACGTGTCTACCTATAAAGCGTCCGTTCCTTGCATAGGGAGGACACTTTCTTTTTGATTGCCGAAGTGTTCAGGGAGTTCAATAGAGAAGTCAGAACTCGAAAGATTTAAAGCCACTGAGTTTTTTATTGTATACTGGACCAATAGCATTGAAAGGCATTTTAGATACCGGTTTATATAATCATTTTTTACTCCTAAGCTTAGGAATGAGAATTCTTCTACACAAGGAGTTTTGTGTCACACAAAATTCTCTGGCCTCTAGCTTGCTGGATGATTTTGTAAGTCAAGTGCCTTCTTTTTATATGAACGCAATGCTCACTTTTAATTTTCATTGCTTAACACATTTAAGCCAACAAACTATTCAATATGGTTCCCTTCAGACCATAAGCTCCTTTCCATTCGAAAACTTTCTAGGCCATCTAAAAAAATTGGTGAAACATTCGAACTACTCATTGGAGCAATTATACAACCGAATTGTAGAGCGCAGTGTTTTGAAAGTCGTACCCAAGGTAAAAACTGGAAATTTCAACGGCTCCAAGGGTAAAATTTCTTATAATCATTGGTATTTCGATGAAACAAATCGCAACTCTTTTTATTTCATAAAGAATGAACATATATATTTAATATATAAGATAATTAAAATCAAAAATAAAATTTTACATAGCCAACTAACACTAGTCAACACGATTTTTCCTCAAGGAACAAAACGAACTTTTTCTTAAAGATTTGGGGCTTAGAAATGGTTTGATGATATTTTTTTTTTCTATGGCAGAACTTTTTTTTAAAGAATTATTGAAAACTGGTATTTTTTTAAGCTTTTTTTCAGAGGTAGCGATAGTTTTTTTCACATAACTTTAGTATCTTTTGTCTGGTTGTAAAGAACTTTGCTATATTTAAGAGAGATAAAGAATTAACAGCTAGAAGTTAAGCCTAATCGCTTTGTTATTTCGGCTAACCGTCTGGGAAATATAAAGCATTGAAATGCAAATATTTTTATTTTTGTGCGAGATTTTTTACTAAATTTTGACTTTAAAAACTCAGGAAAAGTCGAAAAAATTATATCCTGTGTCCTCTATTTTTTTGTGTATAGGTGCGTTAATTTGGCGTCGTTTAAGGTATCGCTCATTAAAATCTATGAAGAGACTTTGGAGCTAAAATTCGTTAACCAAACCTAAAAAATGGAAAAAATGAACCAAAAATACCTTTTTGAAGGCGGCGGGCCCAACTGCCAATTGGGAACAAAGCAAACGAAAAAGGGTTGTACATTTGGTACCTGTTCGCGTTCCTTTGGTATTAAATGTTGTTGACAGTTACTTTTTTCGTGACCAGGGGTAGAATACCTATTCAGGTCAAATGTTTCCTTTATATTCTCACAAGTGCAGGTCCACAAAAATTGGATCTCGTCACATCTACCTAATCATAGTCATGGATATATAACTCTGTGCCTATAGTGTCTCTGCCTTAGTGTAGTTCTGACCTTCCTCAAATACGTTGTGTTTACCAAAACATCTAACAATTAATTCAAATCAATTGCCATGGATACCTCTGGCCGATCATTTGCATGTGCTTTCCAAGCAGACTCATTTTGCTACATATGTGGTAAGTACATGATGATCAACAAAAAAAAATCGCTTTTACCGAAACTCTCAAAACAGTATGAAGAAAACTTTAAAATCAAACCCGAAAGTTTTGTTGAAGAGTGGGCACCAAGCTGTATATTTCAAATGTGTAGATTGAATTTAACAGCATATGATTACGACGGAAAGTAAGTAACTCTAATCCACAAAACTATTAACTTTTCCCAATATTCTAAACATTATTTTTTTCTTACAATTTTTTTTAGAAAACAATTTAACTTTGGTATTCCAATGATGTGGGAAAAAAACAGATATTCACGGCGCCGAATGTTTCTTTTGTTCAGTAAAGAAAACTGGATGGGAAACACATGAAAATAGTTTACCCGAAACAATCTGGTTTCGGCTTTACCCTTCCTGCTCGTCCTTCCAAGGAAATACCGCCCCTAAAACGCAAATAAGGAGAGGTATCTTCCTCGTCGAATGGAACAACGGATTCAAGCAATAACTATTCAGGAGAATGGAAATTTTGCAATCCAATTTCACAGGAACAATTGAACGATTTGGTGAGGATCCTGGATCTTCCTAAATAAATCCGAGCTGCTTGGATCTTTTTTAAAGGATGCCCGTTTATTGAAGGAAGATGTCAAAATAACTCATTTCCGGACGCACATTTGGTTCACTCTCAATTTTATATGACAAAGGATGACATGTGCGTTTGCCACGACATTTTCGGACTCTTCAAGCAACTTGGTGGGGCGTGTCGAACCCAAAAGATTGGAGGTTATTTGTTGACAGCAGTAAGGAAAGTTTAAAGGCTGTTTTGCTACATAATGGAAACCAAAAGCCGTCTGTTCCCATCGCCCATGCTGTTAATATGAAGGAAACATATCAAACAATGGCTAAGTTGTTTGTAAACATAAAATATAAAGAACACCAGTGGAAGGTCGCGGTGTGACTTGAAGGTTGTAGCCATGTTAACGGGATTGCAAGGTGGTTACACAAAACACTGCTGCTTCGCCTGGGAGCTAGAGAACAGCATTACTCAAGAAAACTCTGGTCAAAGGGAGGAAAAACATTGGAAAATTACAATATACAAAATGCCGCTCTCGAAGTTTGAAGTTTGAAGACGTTATTTTACCACCATTACACATTAAGCTGGGACACTGAAAAATGTTGTTAAAGCGCTGGATAAGGAAGGTGAATCGATGAGTTACCTAAAAACTGTTTTTCCACGTCTGTCGCTGGCAAAAGTTAAAGAAAGCGTATTTGATGGCCCTGGCCCAAAACTACTAAAAGATGATGGATTTGAAAATATTTTATCTCCGAATGGTAGTAGCATACTTTCTTGGAAGCCGAAGCCAACATGGCACTAAAAATCCATTTCCTGCACCCCACTTAGACTTTTATCCGATAAACCGAGGGGACGTTAGTGATGAGCACGGAGAGAGATTTCACCAACAATTAAAGGCTATGGAACAACGTTATCAAGGTGTTTGGAATGAAAACATGATGGGCGACTATGTGTGGACTCTCATAAGGGAATCTGATTGGAGTGACAAAGGAAGACAGCCAGAAAACTTAAATTATTTTATGAACAGTAACAAGCAGTAGAACTTAACACCAAATAAAAAGTTTGTATATCCTTAGAATTGACTAAAAAGTCTAAAAATTACTGATTGTTGTATGGGTTAGGGATGAAATTCATATTTCAGGGTATTTCTAATTTGGTTTCATTGAAATATGAATAGGTAGAAGCGACAAACGTCTAATTTGTGTAAAAATAAAGGTCAACATTTGACCTGAACAGGTATCCATACCTCAGATTGGGCACAACATAAGAAAGATCCAATTTTTGTGGACCTGCACTTGTGAGAATATAAAGGAAACATTTGACCTAGGTATTCTACCTCTGGTCAAGAAAAAAGTAACTGTCAACAACATTTAATACCAAAGGAACGCGACGGTACCAAATGTACAAACCTTTTTCGTTTGCTTTGTTCCCAATTGGCAGTTGGGCCCGCCGCCTTCAAAAAGGTATTTTTGGTTCATTTTTTCCATTTTTTAGGTTTGGTTAACGAATTTTAGCTCCAAAGTCTCTCCATAGATTTTAATAATACAGAAAGAACACAGGATATAATTTTTTCGACTTTTCCTGAGTTTTTAAAGTCAAAATTTCGTAAAAAATCTCGCACAAAAATAAAAATATTTGCATTTCAATGCTTTATATTTCCCAGACGGTTAGCCGAAATAAAAAGCGATTAGGCTTAACTTCTAGCTGTTAATTATCTAATTATTATCTAATTATCTATCTTAATTATAGCAAAGTTCTTTACAACCAGACGAAAGATACTAAAGTTATGTGAAAAAAACTATCGCTACCTCTGAAAAAAGCTTAAAAAATACCAGTTTTCAAAAATTTTTCAAAAAAAAGTTCTGCCATAGAAAAAAAATATCATCAAACCATTTCTAAGCCCCAAATCTTTAATAAAAAGTTGGTTTTGTTCCTTGAGGAAAAATCGTGTTGACCAGTGTAATCAATACAATTTTAATTTTGAAGAAATGGGAGAGAAAAATCAAGACAGTCAATTAACAGGTAAATTTTTTTGTTAAATCACTCTGAGGGTAGTTGACTAAGCTTACGCTGTTGTAATCTATTTTCAGACATATCCAATACGTATCAAAATCGCAGCAATCATTCTGGTAATGCAATTAAACATTTCCATATTCAATAGACTTACTCAAGATATTTTCAGATATATTAAATCTTCTAAGTAAAGTTTTAGAAAGCCAGCAGGCCACAAATAAAAAAATTGAGAAGCTAATAGAAAAAATAGATCGTCAAGGGGCTGAATTAATTTCTTTACGGAGTGAAGTCTCCTCCATAAAGGCTCGAGTGTGCGGAGAAGTTAATACCCTGAAATTGATAGTGCCAATTTCTCTTCTGGCCACAATGGAGGGCTTTGAGGATGAAGAGCATTTTTTTAAGAACTTGGTTATGAATTTGTAAATTTTCGGAGTAAATCACTTGTTTAAAAACCTCATACTTTTCTTAAGATCAAGGATTTAATCAATAACAATGAAAAACCTTTGTCACTTTTGTGGACGCGACTCTACTTTTACACCCGTACTCAGTCAGTATATAAATTTGTGAGCTTAATAGCCTTTTCACACTGTCGGCCATCCACCATCCATTTCTGGGATGGTCCGTAGGGTTTTGCCGTTCCGAAAATTTCCAGCTATTCCCATATATCCGGGATTCACACGTTTCTGTGCGGTATTTTTTCGATAATTGTCAAATGAAACCATAAATAATGGACATTCACAACGAAAAAGGTCCATTCACTTCGAAAATGTAAACAATTACAGACAGGAAAATGTTAAAAACAACAACATTGTCAACATTGTCTCAGGCACATAAACTCGGTTTGTGGACTATCCTCTGGCAATTCTTGTATGAATGATCTGCAAAACTAATGCAGGATATTGCACTCGCTTTGGGCTGACAGCCTTCCGACTATTCTGTACTCAGAAAAAGAGCCCAAAGTATACAATGCTATGGCTATAGAAAACTTTCCTTAAAAAACGCCTCGTTGTTTTCGGGTACATCTTCCAAAATGTCCCAAACCGCTTCTCAACAAACATAGAATATATATTTGAACTTAAAACATTGATTGGATTTAGTAGAAGCGATCAGAAATGACCACAACCTTCCTGGCTTCAGTGTTTTTAAAGCAGATATCCATTCTATTATTTCCTCCTCGTCAAAGTTGTCCTCATAATCATCATCCATGTCCAGCAACATGATTAGCTTGTGCAAGAATACGTTTTGCATCTGAATCCATTCACAACCATTGCAATGTTATTTATATTCATTTTAATTATAAATGTTTACAAACTTTCACCGCATGCAATTGTGAGCATCAGCTGTTTCTCATGGATGGTGAATGGTGTGAATCGGTGTTTCACATCATTCAAAAATTCCCACCGCTTCCCAGAGATGGGCTCGGTGTGCAGAGGGCATAAGATTGTAAAATTTTAAACAATTTTACATTTTTTGCTACATATTTTATCTACATCTACAGGTACAATGTAAATTATAAATTCTTTAAAAAAATGTCTGCCATAAAAAAATGTATCATCATTTCTATGCCCCAAATCTTTCAGACAAAGTTTGTCTGGTTCCTTGAGGAAAAATCGTGTCGGCTAGTGTTATTAGTTGTCTAAGCCTTACTTATGATTTTCCTAGCCGTAAGATATAGTTTAAGAGCTGCATGAAGCGGGCGTTTGGTTGCCACCGAAGGGTGACGGGAGCGCGAGAGAGCCGCGCGACCTTTATGGCAAGCGGCGCTATGGTAACCGAAGGCTAGGCCGAGAGAGGGCGAAGAGAATCAGTTAGTGCGAGGGTGGCTGACGATCGATCGATGACACTGAATAACTGCTTGTCCCAAATTAAATCTATTCGATGTGGTAAATAACAGTAATGAATAACAACGGGACTGTATGTGGTAAATGGTGAAATGGATGACAAAAACGAACTATCATACTATTTTTTAGGATAAATTGAAACGTTTATTAGCTGGATTGTTTACTAAGTCATCTTTAGAGGAAATTATAGAAGCCAATTCATTACGTGTTGGTTTGGTATACACCCGCAAATGATCAATATAAGTTGTAAAAAATACAATAAATACTCTTCATTATAATTTTGTTTTTAAATTTTATACATGTCGTCCCCTTTTACCTTTTTGACACGCTCATGTAAAGCCTCGTGGAGCTGGGACACCAATGTAAGGGGTAAGTCACTTTACAGCTTCATCCTTAACTCTAGCTTGTTATTATGCAATCGGGGCAACAATCACTTGTTTATAATAAATTGATCATTGATCTCACAATCTGTCAGACATAGTCAAGAGTTGGGAAGTCCTAGAGGACCACTCCTTCTCAGGCCATAGGTATATCGAGACATCCCTATCTCTCAAAAGCCCTAAACCTACTGACTTTATTAATTCGAGGATCCCAATCCCATCCCAGCAAACTGGGATATATAAAGCACAAAAATGGAGGAACTACTCCCCCCCCGTAGCACCAAAATGCCCGGACGCTCAATCGGATCTTAATCGTATAGTAGACAATTTCACGGAAGCGTGCTGCCGGGAAGGCCTGGCCGCATGCCCTCTTGTGGTCAAAGCAAATATATATCCTACGTAGGAGCTGCAGGACTCTCATTAACAGAGCCCAAAACGCCGACGAGGAGACTTCTCATCACAAACTTTGCACTGAAATCGAGGAAATTTCAGAAGCAGCAAGGCTGCGTAAGATCTTAAAAAAAACTAACCCCTCGGTGGGGTAACTAAAACAAACCGATGGTACATGGACTAACTCCAGTGAGGAATAACTACACATCCTGCTAGACACGCATTTTCTCGGGTGCACAACCATTTAGCAAATTTATCCACCAACTGAAGGTTCGGTAACCTCGATGATACACATCCTCTCAAAACGGAACATCAGTTGGGCAATAAACAGCTTCAGCCTATAGAAATCGCCATATCACCTGGCTTCAAAGTACCTTCAGTAAGATACTAATAATAGGGAAAATTCCTCACGCTTGGCTTAAAGCAAAGATTGTCTTCATTTCAAAAGCGGGGAAAGCCTCACACTCAACCGCAAAGGACTTTAGACCAATCAGTCCTTTCTTCTCAAGAATTTTAAGAGACTAGTCGGACTAAAACTGAGGACAACTATTAGTCCTCAGATGCTGTCAGGTGCCTACCTGTAAGGTAAATCCACGGAAACGGCACTTCATTAAGAAATCTCTTCGGTAGAAAAATCCCTACATCTAAAAGAATACTCCATAATTGCTTTTCTCGACATCGAGGGAGGTGGGTGTGGACGATCAATTGGTGACGCTTATGGATGAGAATCTCGCGGTATGAGAATCTCGCGGTCTGGGAGTCAATCCCTCGAAAACGGAACTTGTGCTATTCACAACCAAATACAAAGTTCCGCCTCTCAACCCCCCATACTAAACATCGTCCCCACAAAAAGGGACTACTGCGTTCCGAGGGAGTACACAGATACTCCTTTTGAAATAATTATCCCTCACAGAGATATCTGGCTGGAGGGACCACCCGGCCCAGATGGCTGGAAAATAAAGATGGAGGAGCAACTATTCCGAGCAACTAAATATAAGGCACCCCTTTAGGCATCCAGACCACTGCAGTGTCTTCCAGGCAGAAGTCAAAACGATCGGGAAAGCTCTCAACTGCATCCAAACAGTTGCCGTTGCCGCAACTCATCTAAATATCTATAGTGACAGCCAAACTGAGATCAAATCGCTTAATGTGATTACATCGAACTCAGCTACCGTAGCAAACTGCTGCAAATCTCTACACGAGATTTCTCAGCAATTTTTTATAAGATTGATATGGGTCCCGGGTCACAGAGACATTGAAGGCAACGATATAGCATATGAGCTGGCCAGATCAGGTACTACAATCCCCCTTCTCCAAGATAAGGAGGACATTTGTATGGCAATGGCCACTTGTGAGCACATAATAAAAGAGCACTCTAAGGTATTAATAGACAATAGGTGGCAAACAGTGCCCAATGTCGCATAACTCGGCAAACATGGCCTAGTATCACAAAGAAGCGCACCGCTGAGCTCTTGAAACTCAGCTGAAAAAGGTGCAGCTCACAGGACATTGGCTAATAGGCACCCATGCGAACAGGATGGGTGCCCCCTACAGCGACTTCTGTCGTAGTTCTAGAGATGAGGACGAGGAAGAAACGGTGGAACACCTGTTCTGCTCCTGTCCGGCTCTCAGTAGATGGAGGCTACAATACTTGGGCTCGCCTTTCATAAATGACATTTCAGACATGTCCCAGAAGGATTGCAAACTTTCTAAGGGCATCTGGATAGGAAACCTGTTGACATAGTGTCTCTTCCTAGTGATCCTTTCGCGGAGAGATATAGAATCTACATTGTAGATGTAGAATCCATATTTTAAATGTAGAATCCATGTTTAAGATGTAGAATATACAATGTAGATGTAGGTGAAAGAAGTGTTGTTAATAAATGCATAGCTTGTGTAGGTTTAAAGAAATAATGTGTGTTTATTGATGGTAATGGTAATACTCGTGTCGGCGACTCGAAGACAACTATCTTGAATCCACGGGATGAGCAAGAACAATCATCTACATATGATTTAATATATTTCAACACTTCCCCTCAAATTGTATGTTAAATAATTCATTCTTTAAGAATCGAAAAATTATACTTTAAGTCATACCCAAACCCAAAATAAATTTTTTCTTATGTTTGCTTATTGATAGACAAACACATCTGCTCGCATGTTCTCAGTTTGAATGTACTTAAAGGCGATTTCTTTCTTCACGAATGAAGTTTGATGTTAAGATTATTTTGAATTGATTGAAGTCTAGTGTAAGTAGGTTAGGGCAAGGCGGGAGCGCAATAAAAGCTCGCTCTTTCGCTCAAGGCGAATTCGCCCCGCTTTGCCACCGTAGGTTAGCTAGGCTTAGAACGATTTTTATGAAGAAATAGAATAGAATCGCAAATTGGAATTTTGATCGATCGCACGCACATTTAGTTTTCGTCCCGCCTTTAAATAAATCTTTAAACGCCACCACATTTTTTTTTTTCGGTTTTTTTGTCAGTTAGAAAAACTATTCCAATTTTGCATGGCGCCCCCGGGTGGACTATAAAGAATTAAAAAGGCAACAAATAAAGTAACAGTGACACAGTGAACCTAAATAGTGAACAAAAAAAATAGAACATACCTAGTTATAATAAATAACTAGTTTATTCTATATTATAGAATATTGTATTGAATCGTTGCCCGCGTCGTGTGTGTATCCAATCTAAAGCCTGCCAAAACCATCGTGTCGGCCGCGCAATACCCTCACCCGCTTGTTGCTGATCACTTCTGATACCCCTCTTCCATACTTGCTGCTTCACCGTTGCTGCTAATGGTTACCTGCTGCTTCCCTATCAGACACCGTTGATGCAACCCAGAAGACGAATGGC